AATTTATGGCAATTACATAATAATGTTATGTAAATTATTAACTACGGTCGTTTATAACAACATTAATTCGTATCAATATTATTTGTCGACCTTAAAGTCATAAAATTTCTTAATAAATCACTCCATAAGTTCATAGATAAGCGTGAAAAAAATCTATATTATATTAATATAAATACATATAATAAACGTATTGTATGTAATACTTTCGTAATTATATTGCTTAAAAAAATATTTACATTAAATTCATTCACATAAGTACGATACACAAAAAACGGCACTGCAATAAAATAGCTATATATAGTCGAGGATTTTTTAGGATCATCATTCAGTTGCGCTACTTTGTGAATTTACATTGCCGCTTTCATCTAAAGTTACTATCGCAGAACTTTACGTAAATCTAGATTTATTACGCGCGGGTGACCTCTCAGGAATTTCTGTCGTACTGCGTAGCAACAGATGTCCAGTGTTTAAAGAGCTGTATTCAGAAGTTTGCACCAGAGCATTTGTCCATTTCAAAAGGTTTGTACACTGCAGTAATTATTATACGTCACGCTAATATTAATTGTCTAAAATGAATACCCGAAATTATTTTATTCGTATCATGAATATTTCTAACATTTAATCAACGTTTATGAAAAATAAATGCGTTTCATGTTGAAAACAATTACATACTCTTTTTTCGTATAACAGTGAAATAACATAAAAAATTATTTATGAAAACCAAGGTAAAGGTGTGTATTGCAAATCTTTGCGTAAATTAAATTTAATCCCATCTACATAATCCTTACAATCCTATATAATTAAATTCCTTAAACATGTTATATTGTACATTTCTAGTGTATTTAATTTTTCATTTGCTTATTACTGTTATTACTCTTTTGGACTGCACAAAATGATTAATGCTTCATTATTTTCATGTATTTTAATCCTTTTCCCTTGTTTTCTTGTTAAATTATTATTAATTTGTATTTCCCACTTTTTTCAATGTCTTTCCATGTTTTATATTTATTTTTACAATTTGTTAGGCCTTCATAATTTTATTGTTATTATCACTTTTTATTTACATATGTTATGCCTACTTTTACTTTCTACTTTTCATGATTTTTACTTTATTATTGACGTTGAGTTCTTTAATAATAGTATTACGTTTTCTATCTGCTGTTGTAATATTCTCTGTAATGGTTTTACTTTTTCCAGAATATTTTTTTATTATTTTAATTTTGTCTTCTTCATTCATTATGTTCAATTTATTTTTAATGAATGTTCACTAGGGTTACTTTTATAATTATCATTTCTACGTAAGTACTTTATGTTTATCTTAAGTTTTAAACATCGACACGTGCTTATGTTAACTTTGATAAGGTTAACTATTGCAATTGACTTCCTTTTACATAATTTTTAAAATTTATCAAGACTCTTCTTAATAGTAAGCCTACGATCAATTCAAAAGTATTTAAACTTATAACTTTATTTAATATTCATATTTCTTATTTATAAGATACTATTTTCAAAACTCAGTACTTGTAAGTACATTGGTACCAACTTTATGCAATACACCAAGGGTCATGAACTGAGAATTTACGAGATCTCTAGGGTCTTTCCCCTCGCAGAGAGTTACCCTCTCCATACCTACTTTCACCTGCTTGCATTGAACACTGCATTTATAAAACTGCTCAAGGTACGTACACAATCTTGGACAGCTCCTAGAAATAGTAGTAGGGGAACACTGATCGAAAGTCACTAGCTGCAAGGGAAGCAGTTCAACATTTTTGGTTTACAGTTACACTTATTTTTTATACTTATATGTGAATATTTTTACTATTTCCAACTGAAATTATAGTGATATAGAAACGCCTATTTTTACTTTATAACCTTATATATATATATGAGTTTTTTCATCTGACACTTATTTCATTCCAAATATTTCAAATTTAAATTCCTTAAGGATTCATATTTCTGATTTTTGTAATATACTATACTGGTAGATTTGTACATTTTTTATTCATTGCATAAAACATTTATGTAATAATAATAACAATAATAATAATAATAATAATAATAATAATAATGATAATAATAATAATGCATCATTTGCTAGCAGGTTAACGTAACCATGCATGTGCGTCATCTACTTAAGAAAACCAATTTATCAACAATTTCTTAGACATTTATTTTTCACATAATTCATCGCGTGAGTTAGATTACGAGTAGGACACTTTTTCCTTCGTACATACATGCTTTATATGCTCTAGGGAAATTGCTAGATTATTTGAACTTTGTGTATAGTGTATAAGTTGGTTAAGTGTAAAGAACTAGTGAATACTGAAATAACAATTGCAATTTGCAATGTGATGTTAAAGTTATTAGAATATATTTATCAATGTTTAATTTGGAAATGAACGTTGAACCGTAAATAAATATCATGACAATTCTTTCCAAAGTAACTGTTTGCTTGGTATTTTGTGAAACTAACTATACTTCAATAGATATATATTGATATGTTGTACATAACCTTATAATTTCAAGAGGTTATGTTGTGAAGTAGATTATTTTCTGCTAAGTTGACGGTGTTTTAAATAAATTACTTCTTAACGAATTTGAAAAAAATGGCGTATTTGACAAGAAAAGAAATAGATGAAATGAAACCACAAATTGAGAAAGCAGTGCATAAATTTCTTGGTTTTGGGGAACCTGCTATCGTAACTACGGCTGTCAACTGTATTACCTCTGGTTATGATAAACGTAAAACGGCAGGTTAGTACTATAATTGTTTAAAATATTATTACTCACTTAATTAGGTTTCTTGAAGACAACAATAAAGGTGATTTTTTTTAGCGGTATTAGTTTAAAGTTGGTCACATATAAATGTTAAGTATGTAATATATTACTTAGGTTGTTTCCTTCATAAAATCTATCCTAATAATAATTTAACATTTATTTTATATTTATATAATATTCTGATATATTATAATTTTCATGTAATCATTAAATCATTTTCAGTAATTTACATAAATTCCTACATTTATATATTTTGTGTATGACGTGTTTCAATTGGTAATTAAATTATAATTAATATATCGCTGTAAGTTATTTATTACTTAAGTGAAATAGACAATATATTTGGTATTTTAGATAAATTGTCTGCTTTACTGGAAGATAAAAAGGCTTCAAAATTAACTGAAAAAATATTTGCGATCTATGATGATGCCAAAGCAGCGCAAAAGAGTAAGAAACGAAATCATGTGGAAGATAAAGATAAAGAAAAAGAAGCAAAAAAACCTAGATTTAGAGATGATGAAGTAAAAAATGAAAAAACAACAGAAGCACAATTGTCTGCGGACAAGGTATGTATATTTTTATCAATATTAAAATAGTGTGTTATCTACTTTTAAGGTAATTATTTTTATATAGATACGACAAATGATGGCTAATGCTCAAAGAGAAATTGAAGAACGAAAAAGGGCATTAAAGGCTATAAAACAAGAAGAGATAGCACCAGTAAAACCATTACTTAAAACACGAGATTCAATACCAACAGTAGGTAGCATGTATAACCAAGGTCTTTTAAGTAAAACAGATTCTGACAAAGCACGTAAAATTGCTGCATTACAAGCTCAAATCAGAAGTAAACTGAGCTCTGGATTACTTGGTAATGTCAGTGTACCTGACAAACCAACTCCATTAATCTTGGATGAATCAGGACGAACAGTAGATATAACTGGCAAAGAAGTACAACTTACACAGGTGGTGCCAACATTAAAGGCCAATATTCGAGCAAAGAAGCGAGAAGAATTTAAAGCACAATTGCAAGAATCTAAAGGGCCAGAAGAAATTCAAGACACACATTTTTTTGACACTAGGATAGGTGTAAAACCAGCAGTACGTGGAAAACGTACACTAAAATTTCATGAACCAGGAAAATTTCAACAGTTGGCAGAAAGAATTCGTATGAAAGCCCAACTCGAAAAGTTACAAAATGAAATTAGTCAAATCGCAAGAAAAACTGGTATAAGTTCAGCAACTAAATTAGCACTTATAGCACCGAAAACTGAAGCTCTTAGCGAAGATGTGCCTAATGTGGAATGGTGGGACTCTGTTATACTAAGTGGAGGATATCCAAACGAAGATGAGCCTACTGGAATCAAAAGTTCCACTATTACTAATCTCGTAGAACATCCTACGCAAATGCGCCCACCGAGTATGTATACCTCAATAAAATATTACGAATATAAAGTAATATATGTATTACTTATTACCTATTTATTTCTTTTCATTTTTTTAGCTGACCCATTAAAACCAATATATATGCCTGTATTTTTAACAAAGAAGGAACGTAAAAAATTACGTAGGCAAAATAGGCGTGAAGCTTGGAAAGAGGAGCAAGAAAAAATTCGATTAGGACTTGAACCACCACCAGAACCAAAATTACGAATTTCAAATCTTATGAGAGTATTAGGTACAGAAGCCGTCCAGGATCCAACAAAAATAGAAGCTCACGTTCGACAGCAAATGGCTAAAAGATTAAAAGCGCATGAAGACGCCAATGCAGCTCGGCGATTAACCGCTGATCAGCGGCGTGAAAAGAAGGCAAGGAAACTTAAGGAAGATACTACACTTGGTGTACACGTGGCTGTTTACAGGTATACTGAAAAATAATATTGATACAAACATGATAATATACTAATAAGAATCATACAAATTTTAATATTATTTTTATAAGAAATTATTATCGATGATAAATATTATTTTTACAGAATACGTGATCTTTTGAATAACGCTTCAAAAAAGTTTAAGGTAGAAACGAATGCAAAACAGCTTTACCTCACAGGTTGTGTGATGCTCTTCCGTGATTGCAACGTTGTGGTAGTAGAGGGTGGGGCGAAACAATTAAATAAATATAAACGATTAATGATGCATCGCATTAAGTGGGAAGAAGATACTATAAAGGATAATGATGGGAACGATGTGCCCAACAAATGTGTTCCTGTATGGGAAGGTACTAGCAAACAACGTCATTTCGGTGAAATTAAATTTAAAGTTTGTCCAATCGAAAAAATGGCTCGCGAGCACTTTAAAAAGCATCAGGTCGAGCATTACTGGGATTTAGCTTATAGCGGAGCTGTTCTTGATAATACGGACGATATTCGATCGTAGAACCAAATTTTGTAATTTAAGCAATAAATATTAACGCGCTCATGTAAATGCGACCATAGATAATTTTAATACACTGTAAGTAAACAAATACTATGGAAACAGAATAAGAAGAGATCAAAACTGTAAACAGTGGCAGGCAGAGCGAAAATAAAAGTGCTCAAGGACTCTAATACGAAGTTTTTCTTAACTAATTCTAGAAACCCTTTATTTCAAATGTGAATTTGAATTTAAAAAACAGTTAACTGAATTGTCAATTAAAGATTATTAAAAATATTTTTATTACTTAAAAAATAAATTTTTTCTACAAACAATCGTGGTGAAATTTTGATTTTATATATTACTAAGACAACAAGGAAGATGATGCTGGACATACACCAAATTACACAAAATATTAACCGAAAGGTAAATTTAAATTTTCCGATAAGGATAAATTTTATGTACGTCATGTTACCAACGTACATAACTAAGTTATTTTTATACTAAATTTTGTAATCGAACTGTTGCGGAACTCTCAGCTCCACAAATGGTAAGAATCGGTCGATCAGTCGCGAAGTTCTAAAGAATTTTCAACCACAGTCGACATTACGGTCAAGCCTGTAAGTGTTAATTAGCATAGCGCAATGACACCGCGATGCCAACGCATGGCATGCAATGAAGGAATACACACAGGGTGTGTGTATATAACGCATTGCATGTATAAAAAGATGCGAATGCACTTTTGAGCCTTGAAACTGCACGTCCAACCGCAACTGCGGACAACAGTATCTATGAAAGGTGAACCTTGGTCTCGTTCATAATACCAATCCGACTGGAGCAACGATGCACTTTTACCGTGACTTTAAGTAAGTGTTACGCGCCGCTGTATTGTTGACACCCTATATTACTGTGATCCTTCTGAGCCCCACTCTTTTATCCGACCGGACGCACTCAGGTTTTACTTTCGTTCGAGGATCGGTCTCAGTTCAGGTTTGCCGCTACATGTTCTCGTACATAGCCGGTGCAAGTCTTGCGAAATTCGCCAAGGCGAATGAATTCTATCGCGTGTTGCCAGTAAGGATTGGTCACTATCGTAAAGGATAATAATTTTGGGAAAATGTCAACGCGTGTGAAACAAACATCGGTCGATCATGTATTCATCTTCCTGTCCCGGTGAGTGTTTCTGCTTTCTTTCTGTCAAATAACTGACACAATCGTGAAATTTTTATCATTTTCCTAGGAGATTAAAACGGTGAGTTGAACATGTAAAACTTTAACAACGATGCTATTCAGTTTCATGTATACTTTTGAATTTGCGTTTTTTGTATAAAACTTACAATTTGATTTTCGTGAGAAAAGGAAATGGAAAATAAACGAGACTAATTTAGTAATTTAACAAATTTGATATTGTAAAAACATTCTGAAATATTAAATATTACTATCATATACGAACAATTAAATATCATATGTCTACTTAAGTTACGTAATTGTTTTTCCACATAAGGAAATTAGTATTTTAAATAATGGACCTTATAATTTTTGATTACGGACTTGTATGTAAACACAAAGCAACTATTATTGAAAATTAAGACTTTTCTCCGTTACATTTTGAAATTAAACCGATATATTGAAAATTAGAAACTGTATTTTTTCGAAAACTTAGTTTTCATTTTCAATTTCACGTTAAATGTATTTTTTCACTTAAATTTTTAACAAAGTGTCACGGAAATTTATTTGTTTATGTCAGTCAAATCGAAGTAAGAAGTTAAAACTGATTTTTACTGAAATAATTAAAAGACACAAAATATCATTCACTAAACTAATAGATGAAATATCTTTTGCAAAAAATAATGTTTTTCGTTTCAAATATATTACGAATCTTAGAAATTTCTCAATACTATTGCAGTCTTTGTCTCATTGGACTGCACTTTAAATAGAAGTACTTTTTGTACCTTAAAATACACTTTAAAGAAATACCTTCGGTAATAAGTCACACGAAAGAGTGGTTCCCATTAACTTACACGGTGTCCTCGCCATGGAGCAAAGATTGCGTAAGGAAATCACAGGAGAACCAGGAAGGAGTCCAAATGTCAGATAGCTATTCGTCGATCTCGTCTTAAGGTCATTTCACATTCGTTCTATTCATATATAACATTAGAATGATCGAAAACGCAACTATATCGACCTAGAAATTGGCTAAAGGAGTGAAGGTTAATCGATGAATAAACCTTATGCGGTAAGGGTAGCAACGAATAGTTGTCTAGAACGAGGGGAAAGGATACCTCCTGGACAAGGTCTTTGGAGTTCATTGTGATCTCGTGATAAATGTTGAAACGGATCACGCGACTCGTTCAATATTAGTAGACCTACTTCTCGCTAACGAGAAAGCTACTCTGTCGAGAAATCATGCGAACCTTCCCGTCCCAAAAATTTTCTCCTTTATGTAAACGCTATGTTCTCGTCACGCACCCCAATTTATTTACAACATAGATGTAAGAATGGCAAAAACTTATAATCCAAATGGCTCAACCCTGCGATCGTGTATTTTGATCCTATCTCGTCATTGTTAACTTAGATAATAATACAACTATTGAATTTACATGCCAATTATTAGGTAACTTCAAGGTATACTACTGTAGGATAGAAGTTACAGACAATTTCTCACGAGTTCACCGGTGGGAGGTGTAACATTACCACAGCGATATAAACTTGTATAATATATTCTCACGTTGCTAATGTACGAAGGGTTTTCTATTGCTGTACAGTTTTCAGTTTTGTTAGAGATAATACGATTCCTATTATCTTGTAAAGACGTGATTACCATACTCTTATGTACTTGTCGAAAGTACATAACTATGAACTATGAACAGATATTATCTATAAAGATATTCTTTGTTATTGACAGATTTTGTTACAAGAATATAGGAAATTATCTGTGCTGTAAATGCTCTATGTAATTATGAAATATTCGAAATATTGTTTATTTATCGTCATATTGCCACAGGGACAACAAAATATTTTTGAATGCATTTTCAGATGTTTAATTATTCTTTAAATTTTCAAATTTTAAAATTGGTTTCATAATATAAGAAGGAGTTTAAAACCAAAGAGTCTAAGAGATGCTGCATTAAATCTGTTCAATTAAATATTGAACTTATCTTTTCCCGCATAAAACAGATTATCGTGTTCATAAAACTCCTAAAATGAATGATAAAAACGTTAGAATCATATGCAACTTGCGAATTGAGGGGCATTAAAGAAATAGAATTTTAATAAAGAATACTATTACTTTCACTGAACGTGCATCTTGGATTTTTTACACGTGTCGAAGAAAGTTTTATATTATAATATTATGAAACGTGATCACAGATACATACCCGGTTAGAACTTCTCCCGTGCATTCCCACGATATCGACGTTCCGATATTTTGTACAACGTTATTATTTTCAACTTCATTACAGATAATTGATGAATCCTATATTCGCAAGAGATTGCTCTTCAAAGGACTAAGAATTGCTGCAAGATTCTCGTTATTTACTATTGAGCAACTTCTCTATAGTTACAGCGTTGTTCCTTAAAGGTCTACCATTGCCATTCAATTTTCCGTACAGTAGATCAACCATACTTTTAATCTAACCGAGATTTCTTTTCCTGTATCCTAACGGCTAATTACTTCCAGGTACACGTAAGAACAAATTTATATTTCCTATCCTTAGATTCCAATTCGCAGATTCCTCGTCGCGTTCGTGATTGTCGAGAGCGCGACCCTACCGTCGAACATGTTACTGGATCTGAATAAGCGTACAAACGTTTCGATGCAAAAGTACCATCAGGCAGAGCAAGCGATCCTGAACTCGCACACGCATTTAAATCATGGGTCCCCGTCGTACTTTCTCAGCACGTCCCACGAAATAACTGAACACGCACAAAATCTGTCGAGGAGAGCTCTACGGATCGAAGCAATGGCGACAATGCTGGTGGAAGCTCTGAACATGTCCTCGAGAGAGGCGTCCTCCGTGTTACCTTCTGTCGCAGCCATTAATTGTCCTGACTCGTCTACTTTTTTACAAGTGATGGCCAGTTGCAAACAATTCGATTCTCAATACAGAACGCATAGTGGAAGGTGTAACAACGGCCTACACCCAACTTGGGGCGCCGCTCTGGAACCTTACATTAGGTTACTACCTCCTGAATACATGGACGGTGTTTCCTTACCACGTACAGACTTGCCCAGCGCCAGGGAAGTCTCTTTAAAAGTACATTCTGGGGGATTAGACGTTAAACACCCGTATTTGATGGCGCTCACCGCGCTGTTCGGCCAGTTTTTAGTTCACGATCTTGCTCACACACCTAAGATGGAACTGCCCGACGGTGCGAAACTCAAATGTTGCAATGTGGATTATGAGCATTTTCATCCGGAATGTTTTCCCATCCGTGCTGATAATGCTGTGGGGTGCATGGAATACTCGAGGTCAGCACCACATCCTGGAAACTCATTTCAGGTAACAAGAATATTCATCTTGCGTAAAACCTCTCACGTTTCTGATTACAAACTAGGTTGTAACAAGAGCAATTTTAATAATACATCCATTTGTGTAGTTGAATAAAATTTCTGGAAACTTAAGGACCTTGAAGAATAGTATTATTGTAAAATATCTAGCGAAATGTAATAATTTAATTTCTATTATAGTTATCGATAGCATCATATTAGTCCTTTATATCATATTAATCCTTTCTGAAGGATACTTAATCTCCCGCATTGCACCCAAGTTAAAAGACAATAGTTTCAATATTGGAGAATATTTACTACGATGTTTAATGGATTGTAGATAAAAGTAATGTTTAAACTTAGGGATGCAAATTGGGTCCTCGGCAGCAGATCAACCAGGCGTCTTCGTATTTAGACCTTTCCCCGGTTTATGGAAGTTCCGAAGACGTAGCGAAAGCTCTGCGATCCGGGAAGGGCGGTTTGCTTAATACGCAGAGGAAGAATTTGCCCATGCCTTCGCCGAAGTACGAAAGTTGCAGAAGCGCGAACAAAGCTTTCCCATGTTTTCTTAGCGGAGATTCGCGAGTAAACGAGAATCCCGGTCTCACTCTAATGCACGTACTTTTTCTACGGGAACATAACCGAGTCGCTACAGAGCTGGGACAACTGAATCCTCACTGGGACGACGAGAGACTCTACCAGGAAGCAAGAAGGATCGTTATCGCAGAAATGGAGCATATAACTTATAACGAATTTCTGCCTGTTGTTCTCGGCGAAACAGCCCTCGACAAGTACGTGGTACCCTCTTTCGTGTCATAATTAATTTAACGGATTAACAGGTTGCATTCATTCGAGAAACAAATGCACCAGAAATTTTATTTAATTAACTTCATTTAGTTCGCTCGGTGCAAAAAAGTAAACGATTCTTTAAATGTAATTAAAACAACATCAACACCGTTTTATACCCTCCTTGCGTATTTATGTTTCCTTTCAAAAGTTTACGTAAGACTTCATTTACAAGTATCAAGTGCTACTTGCGTGGAACGGAATTACGCATTGAAAACTTAAATATTTAGAACAAACGAAAATACGGGTCGAGCTAGGTAATTGTATCACTTTAAATATTTTGTAAATTGTTCGTTACATTTAAAATGATTGAAAGTGAAGTTGTATCAAAGATATTAGGAGTGTTATGGAATTTATGTTTAGAAATTATTATAGCAATTTCCAGGGAGGAGGCACACTTTAAATGGTTTTTAATATACGAAATGTCCACAATATTACGCATTGCAATCAGTATGAGTGTTTAGTTTAGTAATGAGTGTATGTCATCATCTCTCACTTAAGAATATCGCAATAACCACTAGTACTTAAATACGTGCTTTCATATTTCTTTACTCAGTGTCTAATATTTTTGAAACGCGAAGTCAAATGTTGCATGATACACTTTAGAAACTTAAAATTTATTAATTTATTATAATACTGTATGCCCTCTTTAACCTTTTAGCTACTGTACGCCACTATAATAGCTTTCGTGTATATCATTTTTTTAAATAGTATGCCACTATAGCGGTACAATTCTTTCTCTGTCATCGATAATTGTGCACATTATAGTCCAATTTAACGTAATTGCACAGTGGAAAATTTTATTAGTCTCAAATTGCAGTGATATTACATGTATGATACACAGATCGCGTCAAACCTTGCATTACAGAAGTACTGCTTCATGGCTAGTCCAATCGTAGCTAAAAGGTTAATGACGTATATTTTTGTTTGAAATATTTTTTCATATAAGAAAATAAATTTGAGGTGGTAAAGATAAATATCTTGCGTTGAACATGTTTTATGAAATAAAATATTAATAAATTTCAATGTAATGGCATATACTTAGCTGCATTAGTTTACAAATGAATAATTTCTCTATGAAGGAACATTGTAATTTCAAATATGACGCCTACTGTAACGTACCAACATATGTATATTTTAATTATGGTATGATTAAAGGTACCAGCTACGTTTAACGCATCGAGGCTACTTTCGCGGTTATGATACTCGAACGGACGCGACACTCGCGAATTCTGTTGCGTCGGCTGGACTCTTCTTCATCGCCGCGTTGACCCCAAAAACCCTCGACCTAGTTGACTCACGATCGGCATTAAAGTCTGGAGAAAGATCCTTATTATCGGCCTTCTATGCTCCACAGGAGTTTTATGAAGCAGGAGCTATCGATCGCTTGATCGTTGGTGCTACAGGTATGTAGGTTGAAATTTTCCTATAAAATGATGAGTAAATTATTTTTATATCACCAATTATATCTACAAATATATACAATATGATCCTGCAATAAGACGTCAAATTTTATAAGTGTATTCTATGTAGGGCACTATCATGATAACAAAATATTGTGAACATACACCCACTGCAGCTTTACTTTTAGGATACATTTCGAATATTTTTATCAGATAAAATGTGAATACGATTTTCGGAAATTTTTTTAATGAAAATCATTACACACATGAATAAGAAATTTTGTGCATTTTATTTAAAGTTGATAAAACAGTAGAAAAAATCTTACTTGAGGTTTTAAGCGATCGTTTCGGTTTAAAGGAAAGACTACGTTTTTGAAATTCATAGTGGGTTTCGTTTTGAAAAAACTGTTATTATGCCCGTAGAGATGTTTATATTTGCAAAATATATTAAATGAACTATTACATTTATTTTTACACTCGTCACATGATGTAAAAACGTTACAGAAAAGAATCAATGTAGATTTTGAAAGTAGTAGCGTCACGTTTCAAAATAAACCTAGGTTGACTGCTGTATAACGGTTTTTTATAAAGTTGTAGTATCTACTTTGAACATAAGTGATTTTTCAATGAAAATTTAGCAATCTCTTAATTTTTCACGGAAGTGTATAATCTAAGAATATAAAAAAAAATTTATTTTTATGCCGTTACAATAGAGAAACCATGAAGCAAGAATGTTTCTGTTGGCTCAGCTTAGAACCGCGTTTACGCATTGACATTTGATTCAAAGTAGGACGAAGGAATAATGAAAAGTAGAATACACTCATAAAATTTGACCTCTTATTTTGGGAATACTTTGCATAGTAGTATTGCAGGCATTTATTTCACAAGATCATTAACAAGTTTATTAGAAAGGAGTCAGTTAACAAGCTACTGAGAGTCGTAACATCACGCACGCTTCATTGGACTATTAGTCATAAATATTATTCATACAACTATAAAAGGAGCTTCCAATTGCGGAACTGCGTGTTTTCTTTTTAATGCATGAATTATAAATCGTGGTGCATAAATGATCTCGAAAAGCTTCACGTTTCTGTGTTTTAAATTAGAAAATATAAAAGGAATCATTCAAATTTCATGACAATTCGCTTAAAAACTTTTCCTTCAAATAATTCAATTGTAATTGTAAATAAATGCATAAAATATGGAATTTAGTTATAATTCCCTCTAATTTTAGTGGTAGCGTTTCGATAAATAACATTACATCGAGTGAAGCATAATACATTGGCATTGCAAATCATGTTTCAATTAAGTTTTATTAAATATTATCACAATCTACCGATACGTTGTCCCATGAGAACTTGGTTTTAATGACGATCTAGGATGCAAGATTTAATTTCCGTGACAGCGGGACATTCTAGGAGGCCTTTACCGCCAGGATTGAATGAAATCCTTTTGGAACGATACTTTCATGATGGAAAAAGCAACGATATTGCTGTGGATTACGCTGCACAACTCATACAACAAGGACGGGATCATGGCTTGCCACCTTATTTCAGATGGCGATCATTCTGTGATTTACCAGATATTAACAGCTTTGAAAGCCTTAGAGGATCGATGACCAAAGATACTATAGAGAAACTTCGGGCTGTATATAAGTAAGAAGAAGCACATTAATATTTTATATATAATTATACATAGTGGTAATTCGTAAGATGTACTTTAACAAATTTAACCAACACTTGAAATAATGATACTCCATAAAATAAAGTAAATAACCGTTAAAATATAGACTGATCACAATTCATTATTGAATACTTACAAAATTCTGTTTTTGAGAAAAACAAGTTTGAGAATTCATCAGACATACGTGCTGTTGTATTACATTCTTACATTACTTATCACATGTATAGCTGTATTTCATCATATTCCTCGTAATTTTTTATTTAGAATCGTAACATTTCTATTTATATCATCAATTAAATGATTTGTATAATTTGTAAATGCTTGTAATAATTTTCACAGAAATGTACAGGACATAGATTTAGTGACAGGAGCACTGTCCGAAGCAACTGTATCTGATTCTGTTCTGGGACCAACGTTTCTTTGTTTACTGGGTCGTACTTTCCGAAATATTCGTTTTGGTAAATAAATTTGGTACACTGTTAACATTTTTTACGGAATACTCGTAATTGGTAATATATATTTTAAAAGCGTATGCGCTACTTGCATTAATATAATTAGTTGTACGTGTATTATACAGGTGACAGATACTGGTTCGAAAATGCGAATACTCCAGGATCATTTACGTTAAATCAATTAGAAGAAATTCGAAAAGTTACAATGGCACATGTTTTGTGTTATAATGGCGATAGATTGAATTTGATGCAACCTAAGGCGTTTCTTCTGCGAGATCGTTTCTTGTAAGTCTCTTATTTGAGTCTAACTATACCGTTAACATAATTAAACAATAATACTTTTTTAAACTTTCAGAAATGATGTGATAAACTGTACGATACACACGAATGCCTCACCGAATCTTTCAGCTTGGAAAGAGAATAAGGTTTCGTAACTTTTACTTTAATATGCACATGATAATATGTCCGTGATTGTACATAACAAATATTAATTTTAACTATTATTAATTGAAGACGTAATTGTTTATATTAATTGACGTTGTTCCTTACTGTAGGAAAAGTAGATACTGCACTATTTTTAAGACATATTCAAAATTACAAAATGCGTATGATGATATTCTTTTTATAAAATGTTAAATGTAATAAATGTTAAAATTTAATAAATCAATTTACCATATTTCCTTTCTATAATTACACTGAGATAAGATATAATCATACACATACCCATCCGTATACACCCATTTTAAAAATTACGTTTTCATTAACTCAATAGTTTATTTCCGTGGTGAAAGAATGACAATAATAAATTGAAGACTTTTTAAATAAGGAATGCAAAAATTTTATTTTTAATAACGAATACAAAAGTTTCGAAAATTTTGTCTTTAGATACTTATTGAATTTATATAATCTTTATACTAATCTTATAACATAAAAGCTTATAAGACA